AGTTGCAGCAATACAAGGTCAAACACTGTACAAGACTGAAGTGTTAGTCATTTATGTAAGGGAATGGCTAGATGAGCTAAAATACAACTATTTTTCTGAAGAATTTTACATGCCTATGTTCCAAAAATATCTTTATTTCCTCTTCCCTTCTGTGGGTTTTGTTTGCAGCTGTGGGAAAGTGCACTCAAAGTTGTCTTTGTGCTTTTTTCTGAAAGCAGGCAGAAGTGTTCTCATTCTCATGTCCTATAGTGAAGTGTTCAAAGCTGTGTAACTAAGAGCCTTATTTCATATTTAGTTTCTCAAGATTGCAGCTTCTGAGGAAAGCTCGCATTGCAAAGAGAAAAATGCTACTGAGATATCTTGGGCCATTTCTGTGGAGTGGAGCATCATGTGAGCTAATAAACTGGCCTTACATTTTGTCTGAAATCAGTGAAACGAGCGATGTCTTAAGTGATTATGTTCTTGGTGACTGCTGAAGAGGTGCAACTGTGTTTTGGTGCAGCTGGAGTGTAGTTCACTGGGTGCAGTTCTATTTTGGTGTAGCTGGAGAGTAGTTCACCACTGAAATGCTTGTGTTTAAGGTAGTCCAATGGAAAGATGCAGAGGAGGTGGCAAGGTCAGGATGACAGGGGATTAGATAGATTTTTCTTGGATACTATTACAATGAGTTTCTGCTTCATGATGCTAAATCTAGAGCCTTAAACCACCCATAAATCCTGGACCAGATGTCCGACCTGTCATCAGATGATCATCCTGTCCTGAGTGGCTTTTCTTCTGGTTGAGCGCAGGACTAGAAAACCTCTGATGAAAGTAAAAGCTGAAAATGTGCAATTCTGTATCAAGAAATTAATTCTGCCTCTGCAGTGGTAATAATCTCTGTAAGGTTTGCCGAGCAGATGCCAGCAGTGAATTAGCATGGAGCTTTTGGGAAAATAGGAGCTGAATATGTAACCATTGCAAATGCTTCACTGCTTAAGGTTAATTTTTACTGTGAAGATCCTAATTTTATTCACTGAATCCTTGAGAATAGTGTGTTACACTATCTCTGTATACAGGTCAGAAAATGTTCAGGTCTAGATTTGGTTGACAGTTCATAATAATGGCCTTCCACCTAAACAATGGGATTAAGTTACTTATTTCAAAGAAGTTTTAGGTTTAGCCTTTTTTCAACATTTTTTACCTGACCTGTTATCTTCCTGTTTACTGTCCTTTTCAGAGTAAGAGTATAAATCTTCTTATTTACTGTCCCTGTCAGTTTGAATTACTAATCTGACCTGACATTAAGCTGTTCCTTTTTGTACTGGAGGAAAAAAAAAAATAAAAAAATAAAAATCTAAGTCATATGGTATTATCCTTCACTTTCATTGAACCATCTGGAGTCCTGGAGCCAGAGATGAAAACTGTCAACATCTCTTGATGCAAAGCAAATAGACTTAGCTAAAAGAGAAGTTTGAGCTGGAGAATCATCCTGTAGAAAGATTAGAGCATTTCAACAGTGGAGGAAGGAAATAATTATTTGTCAGAAGAACCCCATCCTGCCCAAAAGCCATAGCATTAGATACCTAATGCTGTTCCTTTAGAGATTAGAGGTATATTCAAGATTTCAGTGGAAACCAGATTTTGGTTTTACTAAAGTTTATTTTTGGTTTGCTGTTTGCAAAACTTATGTTCCAAACAAGAGGAAGAGGTCTAGTCTCTCATGTCAGGACTTCCTTAATTTAAGGAAACTACAAGTTACTGCACGGATCACCCCCTCAATAATAAAATTGATACACATATGATTTTATGATACATACAATACAAGTCAATTCCAGGTCCTTCTGAATTGTACAGAACATAATGCGTTATCCACATAATTATGTTGATGACTGTGGTTATATACCTTTTCAAAAATATTTCCTTGAATTGAAGTGTTAAATAATATAAATAAAGTAACACTGTCATGTCACAATGTGGTAGAAATGCCTTATGATTTGGGCTTTCATGTAGGACCATAAACACTGAAAAAATGGAGTTCACTAATAATATTTATTCTTTACCCTTAAAAGATTCCTATTTGAAACTGTAAAGACCCACTGAAAAGTAAACTCATGTCACATGGAATTGAATGTTCATTACAAATAATGATCATTATATGAGTCTAGATTATTACTTGTCATTTTATGTTCTTGACAATTAGTATCTCTCATGTAAAATATATATTTTTCCTTTTGGCTGAGT